GGCGCCGAGCCTTTTTTTTTTTTTTCTATTTTTAGTAGAGATAGGGTCTCACTCTTGCTGAGACTGGTCCCTGAACTCAGGACCTCAAGCAATCCACCCGTCTCAGCCTCCCAAAGTGCTGATTACAGGATTACAGGCATAAGCCACTGTGTCTGGCCTGAAAGATTAACTTTTGAGAAACTTTTAAAGCCTTGTATTGAAGAGGAGCCAAAAGAAGTTTTAATTAATTGAGAGAATACCAATATTATATTCTATTTCTATGCAACCTTTAGAGCTTCCTTCCTTCCTTCCTTCCTACAAATTTCATTTTTTATCACATGCAATCTCTGTCTCTTTACTATCTTAAGTTGTTTATTCTAGGTCAGTGGTTCTCAACCTTTGGGCACTTTTGCCCTCCTGGGGACATTTGGCAATATCTGTTGATATTTTTCATCATCATTAACTGAGAAGAGGGTATAGAAGTAAAGGTACTGGCATCTAGTAAGTAAAGGTCAAGGCTGCATATGACAGTCCCCCACAGCAAAGAATTAATCAGCCCCAAATGTCAGTATTGCCCAGATTGAGAAGCTGTGTTCCAGGTGTTATATTCAGAATTAGAGGACTGACCCAAGATTTTATGTTTCCAATTATTTTTGTTGATTTTTTGCCTTGGTATAGGTAATCATTATACCAAATTTGAGAATTAACCACCTTCCTTATGAATTATGGGTTAATGTGTTATTAAATATCTCATTTTATCCATTGAAATAAATCATTATGCCTCTCCCTCCCATCTGGGCCCACACTGCTGCCTTGTCCTAGGACAGAGGCTTTTGGACCCTCAGACCCCAACCCCACTCAGCCAAGTGTCTTTCTGTGTCTTGAGGGGGTAAGGGGACAGACAACGTGTGGTTCGATATTATTTTTAAGCTCCATGAGCGTGTGGGTCAGTGTCTGCATGAAGTGGAATAAACTGTAGCCACCGCCCCCCCAAAGAAAGAAATCATTAACAGCTAAAATAATAGTATCTTATGGTGTTTTATGACAAATGACAAGTTCTTAAAACTTTAGATGGAAAATGGATAGGTAGATATTTTTAAGACAAAGCTACTGCATTCCTCTTGGAAATGTGATATATGTGTGACAATATGTATGTTAAATGAGTTAATATGCATAAAGCTTCATCACAGTAAGGGTACCGCTAAAGAGGAGGAGGGAGGAGGCAGTGAAGAGGGGATGATAAACTAGGATTTCATCATTAACAGTTCATTCAGTCAGTGATTAAGATTTGGTTTTATTGCAAGGGAGAATTAACATATATGAATACCTGTTGTATCAGCCACCATATGCACTTTCTCTGTGTTTCATTATTTTCTAATCAGTAAACCATAAGGTAATTCTCTATTTTATGGTTAGGGAACAAATTCAGAGAAGTTAAACATGGCTGAGTCAGAATTAGAGTTCAGATCTCTGATTCCAAAGGGTTTATTTTTTGTACTATATCATTCTATCTTCAAAGATGACTTTATAAGTGTTTTGTTTCCCTCGAGGATGTTCTGAATAGATTTTGTAGAAAACCAGTATTCTTGATTTTTCATTTTATAGGATTGTAGTCTTTAAATAACAGGATTATGAATAAAGATAAAGATCACTTTGTTACAGTTCTAATCCATGTTGATGTGAATGGAAATGGATTAAATACTATTAATTACTGTGAATAGCTTTGTAAAAGGTACTACTCTAGCAGTAGAGTTTAATCTCAAGCTCTAATGTTGTACGCTGCCCATCATTGATTACATACATCATGCTTTGTTTTTCTTTGTAAAATATGCTTCATGTGCTATCTTTCCTCACCAGAATTCCTCCTTGTAAAGGTATAAGTGAAGAAACACAAAAGGCTCTGGACCGCTCTCTTCTTGATTGCACTTTCCGATTACAAGGTAGAAATAACCGCACATGGGTGGCAGAGTTAGTGTTTGCAAACTGTCCACTTAATGGCACTTCTACTAGAGAGCAAGGTGAGATGTTTCATGCATTTTGACTTTGCATATGTCTGGGGTTTTTTAGTTTTGATTACTGTTAATCTTCTCTTTTGACCCTATAGGACCGTCCCGGCATGTTTACCTGACATATGAAAATCTTTTATCCGAACCTGTTGGTGGTAGAAAAGTAGTTGAAATGTTTCTTAATGACTGGAGTAGTATTGCACGATTATATGAGTGTGTGTTGGAATTTGCACGTTCTCTACCAGGTATATGTGATAATCTTCTTTTTATTTATTTATTTTTATTTATTTTTGAGGCAGAATCTTACTATGTTGCTGTTGGTAGAGTGTTGTGGAGTCACAGCTCACAGCAACCTCAAACTCTTGGGCTTCAGCAATTCTCTTGCCTCAGCCTCCCAAATAGCTGGGACTGTAGGCGCCCACCACAACACCCAGCTATTTTTTTGTTGTAGTTGTTGTCGTTGTTTAACAGGCCTGGGCCGGGTTTGAACCCACCAGCCCCAGTGTATGTAGCCAGTGCCCTAACCACTGAGCTATGGGCACCGAGCCATAATCTTCCATTTGAATTAAAAAGAAAAAAGCCTGGTGGTTCATGTCTATAATCCTGACACTTGGGGAGACTGAGGTGGGAAGATCTTTTGAGACCAGGAGTTCAAGACTGGCCTAAGCAATACAGCAAGACCCCATCTCTATAAGAAATTTAAAAATTAGCTGGACGTGGTGATGTACGCTTGTAGTTTCAGCTACTGGGGAGACTGAGGCAGGAGGACCACTTAAGCATAGGAGTTTGAGGCCACAGTGAGCTAGGATTACATAATTACACTCTAGCCTGGGTGACAGAGTGAGACTTTGGGGAAAAAAATACCCTCTCCTTTATTAACCGAAGAAGTAAAACATGCACATTGTTAAAGATATGTTGAATGAAAATTAAATATCCCTTTCACCTCAAAGTTCAATTTTCTTTTCCCATAGATAACCACTGTTAAGTTTCTTTTTTTCCAGAAATTTTTACATGCAGATATACCATATATTATTATAATACTATTTATTTAGTGCATACCATACAATTTCATAAACTGCTTGGGTTAATTCATTTAATCCTGACATCACCCTAGAAGGTAGTATTAGCCCTCATTTTACAAATACAGAAGTCAGAAAAACCAAGAACATTGCTAAAGGTCACATAGCTGGTAAGTGGCAGAGTTGAATTTGGAACCATCTAACCACTGTGCTAGACTGCTTCAGTATATATCACTCACCCCCTTTTGTAGAAATGGAAGCATCCTATCTATTTATGCTGTTACTTTTTTTGTTTTTAAACCAAATCACTTTTCATCTAAGCATATAATATTGCCAAAATGTCCTGTTAGTCAATTTATATCTTAAAATTTTGCGTGTATGATGTTAATCTCCTTTTTGTTTCCTTTCTGTTTAGACATACCTACTCATCTAAATATTTTCTCAGAAGTTCGTGTTTATAATTACCGAAAACTTATTTTGTGTTATGGAACCACCAAGGGAAGTTCAGTAAGTATAAATTAAAATGCTCAAGTTCTTCTTATATAAATCTTCTAAATATCAGGAATTCAGGCCAGGGAGCAGTGGCTCATGCCTGTTATCTTAGCACTTTGGGAAGCCAAGGCAGGAGGATCACTTGAGGCTGGGAGTTCAGGACCAGCCTGAGCAACATAGTAAGACTCTGTCTTTACTAAAAAATAGAAAAATTAGCTAGTCATGGTAGTGCACTCCTGTAGTCCCAGCTACTAAGGAGGCTGAGGCAGGAGGATTGCTTGAGCCTAGGCATTAGAGGTCACAGTGAACTAGGCTGACACCACTGCACTCTAGCTCAGACAACAGAATGAGATCCTGTCTCCAAAAAAAAAAAATCAAGACTTTGAAAAACATGAAAACTACCTTAAAATAAGTAAAGGCTCAAGTTGAAATCAGGGATCACGTGGTCATTTTTAAATGCTTTGCTGATATAAATATAGTATACTATAATACTTATAAAGTTGAAACCCCAAATAGTACTCTCTAGTGGAGTATATGATCTTGAAGATTTTTGGACAAGGGAATATACTTTGGATGCTTGTACTTTTTTCTTCACTGATTCCAAAACTGCTTGGCAGAAGGGTTATTACAAGGAAGTTTATGTATAAGTGGTTATGAACAGTATGGTATATTTTTGCTTTTGGGCATATGAATGTTATTGTTTGATCTTATCTTAATCTTGAATGTATTTCCTGTAATCTACAGTTGCTTATTTTTTTCCCCCACCCTATACGTAAAGTCCTAGAAATTTGGTATAAAAATGGAGCCAGCTGGCTTCTCTCTGGACCCTTTCACATCCAGTAATATCAGAAATTGCTTCAATGTTTTAAAATCTAATAGCAAATGCATCTGTGTTGCAGGTAGCTCATTTCCTCTTTATGACATTACTCCTTAGTTGATGTATCAAAAGTGTGACTCTTCAGTTTAGGAGAAAAATGAAAAATAAGAAACACTGATGATAATTTTTAAATAAAGTTATTTGAAACTTTCTTTAATGCCTTCTCTTTCTATTTTATTTAATAGAAGAGGGCTGACATGCTGAAGCAGTATACTGATTCATGTTAACAGCACATCTGGAGTTTGAATCTAGTCTTATTACTTGTTTTTACAAAACAAAACCCCTCTTTTAGATATTTGGCATTTTGCCTTTTAACATTTTTTCTTGTGTTTGTATCTGTTCACTTTCTCAGTTTCTGAAACATGTAATCTCTTTGATTTAGATTAGTATCCAATGGAATTCCATCCATCAGAAATTTCACATTTCCTTGGGAACTGTTGGCCCAAACTCAGGTTGCAGTAATTGTCACAATACCATTCTTCATCAACTTCAAGAAATGTTCAACAAAACACCAAATGTGGTTCAGTTATTACAGGTAATTAAATTTATTTTCTGTCTAAAAACAAGAGTTAGTGTTTCATGTAAAACTCCTCCAAAAAATCATGCGAACTTGTCTTTAATGACTAAACCTAGTGACTTTATCTTTTATATCTTGGACAATTTGGGGGGAATTTTCTTTGATTTAATGTGGACATAGTGATATAGTTTGCATTCTCTTCAAGTAAATGTTTTATGGAATATGCCAGAAAGATGTTGTCTCATATGTGACAGTTAGACATTAAAAATTTTGAGGTTTTAGCATTTGTACAGAAACTGACTGCTTTCATTGTATTTGTTTCTTGTAGGTACTATTTGATACCCAGGCTCCATTAAATGCCATCAACAAACTCCCCACTGTGCCAATGCTGGGTTTGACCCAGAGAACGAACACTGCCTACCAGTGCTTCTCCATTCTGCCACAGTCGTCTACCCACATCAGACTGGCCTTTAGGAACATGTATTGCATTGATATATACTGCCGGAGTCGTGGCGTTGTGGCAATACGGGATGGTGCCTATAGTCTTTTCGATAACAGCAAATTAGTTGAAGGTTTTTACCCTGCACCAGGACTAAAGGTAGTAGACTTTATTTAACTTTAATAAGTAGCGATGTCAATTCATCATCTCTGCAACCTCATTCTGAGGGAGCTAGAAGTTCTGATAAAGTGCTATGTCTATGTATATGAGATGGTTAAAAGTCCTTTCTTTTGTTTCCTTACTCTGTGATGAGTAAGGTGAAGATACTAAAAAGAGTCATCTTTGCTATTTGGAACTTGAAGTATTTTAAAAGTAGTCTCTATTATTGATTATCAAAAGGTTCATCCATCAGTTCAACTGTGATGCTATTTTAAAATGTAAGGTCCTGGGCCACAACCCTTGGGGATTCTGGTGTGATAGCTGAGTTATGTGTGTTTATAATTTAGAGTCAAATAGTTCCAAAAGGCTTATTTTGAAAAATAGTCTTCTGTTGTCCTCCAACCTACTCTTGCCATTTTCCTGTTCCCCAGATGTTCATGTTTTCAACTCTTAATATTGCTGATTCTCTTGGTATTTATATCCTTATCTCTAGATATTATGCTTACATTGCTCTCAGTTAACCTTTTGGTTGAGGGCATTATCTGATTCTCATAGTGGAAGATGAGAATTTAATTCTTTTTTTGTGTACACCTTCCTCCTTCCAGGCCATTCCCAGTACATAAACACATTCTTCTTTCCTCCTATCTTTATAACATAGGTAGCAATTTTGATTAGATCATTTTTCAGTGTTTGCATTATGAATATGTAGGGACTGCTCTAAATTTACTATGATTACTTTTCCTTCTTGTTCAACATTTTATTTTCTTAGGAATTAACAGTTGACTCTTGTTTATGTGTGTATCTGTAGTTTTTGCTTTGTTTGCTTAGCTTCCTCACTCATTTAGCCTTAAACTCTCCCAGTTACATAATTCTCCTGTTAGTACCTTCAGATATTTCAGATACCTTATTGGTTTCATCTTGAAAAAAATTAAAGACATCTTTTTTTGTTGTTGTTTGTTTTTTTTTTGCAGTTTTTGGCTGGGGCTGGGTTTGAAACCGCTCCCTCCAGCATATGGGGCTGGCACCCTACTCCTTTGAGCCACAGGCGCCTCCCAGAAGAGTAGCAGATTCTTTTGTTTGTTGTAGTCTTTTTGGCCGGGGCTGGGTTTGAACCCGCCACCTCCAGTATCTGGGGCCAGTGCCCTACTCCTTGAGCCACAGGAACCACTAAAGACATTTTTTTTTCTTGAGACAGAGCCTCAAGCTATCCCCCTGGGTAGAGTGCCATGGCATCATGCTCACAGCAACCTCCAACTCCTGGGCTCAAGCGAGTCTCCTGCC